TCTCAGATCACTGGAGAACTTTCAGCCATAATTTTATTCTTCACATATTCCTTACAACCCCAGTGCACACAATCATGTGAGTTCACAGCTTGACTTCTCCAATAGTTCAAGTGCTAATTCAGCTGGATTTCCAAACAACTCTCAATTAGCTCCAGTGCAGACTCAACCATCTATGCACAATCCTTAGAATCAAGCCTTTTTGTCTCAAACACATGTACCTCCTGGTTCAAATCCAGCTGCACATGACACTACCACTCCAGCCACAGTTCAAGATGTCTCTTGGTACATGGATTCTGGAGTAACAGACCATGTGACCTCTGATGTATCTCAGCTTACACTGAATTCAAACTACACTGGCAATGAGCAGCTTCAGGTTGGAAATGGTGAGCTTTTTCCTATCTCTCACATTGGTTTCACTTCATTTTTATGTCAATCTAGATCTCTTCATTTGAAAAATGTGTTATGTGTGCCTTCTATTACAAAAAACCTGTTAAGTATTTCCAAATTTACCAAAGATAATAATGTCATTGTTGAATTTTTTGCTGATCACTGTGTGGTTAAGGACAAGCACTCCAAAGCCATTCTTCTTCAAGGAAAGCTTAAAGCTGGCCTATACCAACTCCAAACTTCAACCAATACATCTTTTTCAAACTCAAATCTCTACTGGTCAGTCCACTTCTTCATCTTCAGCTTTCACAAATCAGCCAAGACTTCAAGTTCACTGCACCTTGAGCAATCTTTACCATTTGTAGTTCCACAGTCTTGTCAAAATAATATTGCAGTCCTTTGAACGATGTTAAAATAGATCCTGTTTCCTCTAATCTGTCCAATCTTGTATCTGCTTGTAATAATGCTACTAATGATAATAAAGACAACATTTTTCAATCATTTCCAGTAGAAAAAACCAACTGCATATTGTGGCATAAATGTTTAGGACATCCTAATGCTACTGTTCTTACTAAAGTCATGAGGTCTTTACATCCCAATAGCTCTGTTCAAGGATCATTAGAATTCTGCACAGCTTGCCAATTTGGAAAACTTCATCAATGCACATTTCCTAGATCAGCTTCTAGAGCTTCTCAACCTTTAGAATTAGTTCATTCAGACCTTTGGGGACCATCACCCATTTCATCTCCTAAAGGCTTTAAATATTACATCCAATTTTTGGATGATTACAGTAGATTTACTTAGATTTTTCCCTTAAAAACTAAGTCTGAAACAAACCTGGTTTTTCAAAAGTTTCATAAACTTGTAGAGAGACAGTTCCATAAGCCCTTGAAAAGTGTTCAAACAGATTGGGGAGGTGAGTTTAGGAGTTTAACATCTTACTTTGCTAGTCATGGTATTGTTGTAAGACATCCTTGTCCTTATACACTTCAGCAAAATGGAAGGGTTGAGCGGAAACATAGGCAAATAGTTGAGCAGGGGTTGACCTTATTAGCTTAAGCTAGCATGCCCCTACAGTATTGGTGGCATGCCTTTCAAACAACAACCTTTCTCACAAACAGACTACCCACCCCTGTGCTGTCCAATTCCTACCCTTTTCAAGTTTTATTCAAACAAAATCTAGATTATTCAGTCATAAAAGTTTTTGGTTGTGCAGTTTACCCATTTATCCGACCCTATAACTCTCATAAATTTGCATTTCATACAACTCAATGCACCTTTATTGGTTTTAGTATGCATCGCAAGGGATACAAGTGTATGGACTCAAATGGAAAGATTTATGTCTGTTTAAGTGCTAAATTTGATGAGTCTACATTTCCTTTTGCTCAAAATTCCCTTTTACCATCACAGAACAACCTTCCTCTGTCATCACCAACATGACCTTCCTATATCTCTTCTCTTGCCTTTATTATTCCCACTCATTTGCCTGCATGTGATCAGCAAAATTCAACTATGTCACCATCCCGCTCTCTACCAGTAAATGCCAAGTCTGTATCTACCCAGTCTTTTCCTTCAGACACTAAATCTACTGAGTCTTTACCTTGTTTTGATCAGTCTCATAATTCTTTTGTATCTACTCAGTCATCTCCTCCTGTTCCAAGTCTCATTGAGTCTACTTTCTGCTCCGATCAGTCTCTTACTCCATCTTCTGCCTCACCTTCATTAGACACTAATTCTAAAAATATTCATCTGACAGTAGACCTACCATTTGACTCTCAGTCTTCACCATCACAGCCCTCTCATCCATCTCACTTAGCTGAATCCTTAAAGAGTATAAATCTCACAGTTGACCTTCCTTTTGATTCCCATTCTCTCAACTTTCACCCTATGCTCACTAGGTCTAAAACCAAACTCCACAGTTCCATGTTAGCTTCTTCCACAGACTCTTCATCTTCTCTTGATTCAACTGAACCTACTAGTGTCTATGAAGCACTCAATCATCCTTCCTGGAAAGCTACCATGAAAAGTGAGTTTGATGCCTTGCAATCAAACAATACTTGGGAACTTGTCCCTACTAAACCTGACATGAACATAGTGGGCTGTAAGTGGGTTTTTCGGGTCAAACAAAACTTAGATGGTTCCATCCAAAGATACAAAGTAAGATTAGTTGCTAAAGGTTTCCAACAAACCCCTGGAGTTGACTATCTTGAAACCTTTAGCCCGGTTATTAAATAAGCTACAATTCGAGTTGTGTTGAGCTTGGCTATCACCTATGACTAGGATATCCAGCAGGTGGACATTAACAATGCCTTTTTAAATGGTGAGTTAAGTGAGACAGCCTACATGACCCAACCTATAGGATTTGTTGATGCTCAAAAACCTCTACATGTTTGCAAATTAGTTAAAGCCTTATATGGGCTAAAACAGGCCCCTAGAGCCTGGTTTGAAAAATTGAAAACTGCATTTCTTCAATGGGGTTTTGTCTCTTCTATAGCTGACTCCAGTTTGTTTATTTATAGACACAATGAGCAGACACTCTATGTTGTTGTCTATGTGGATGACATATTAATAACAGGAAGTGATTCTAAGTTAGTTAAAACTATGGTTCAGAAGTTGAATGATGAGTTTGCATTGAAAACCCTAGGATCTCTCAAATATTTTCTGGGTTTTGAAGTCCATAGAACAGCCTCCAGCATTCACATGAGTCAGGAAAAGTATGCTCGAGATCTCTTAATCAAGACAGGAATGATGGACTGCAATTAGTGTTCTACCCCTATGGCAGTAGGCAATAAACTCACAATTGAGGACAGTGAGTGCTTTGACAAACCAGCCCTTTATAGAAGTACAACGGGGCCCTGCAATACGTGACATTATCTCGGCCTGACATTGCTTATTCAGTGAACAAGCTAAGTTAGTTTCTCAAGGCCCCTACTCTGCTTCACTGGCAGGCCTGCAAGAGACTCCTTAGATACATCAAAAGAATTATGGATTTTGGTGTTACATTTAAAAAAATTCATAGATTCCACCTAGACTACTTTACTGATGTTGACTGGGTAGGCTATATCTAGGATAGGAGATCCACAAATGGCTGCTGTTTATTTCTCGGTCCAAACCTGCTTCAGTGGAGTTCACAAAAATAGAAGGTAGTAGATCTATCCTCCACCGACGCTAAATATCTTGCCCTTACACAAGAAGCCAAAGAAATAGCCTGGCTTAGAAGTCTCTTCTCTGAAATGGGACTGATTCTTCACACTACACCTATCATTTGGTGTGACAATCAAAGTGCCGGTTCACTAGCCTCCAATCCAGTGTTTCATGCAAGAACCAAACACATAGAATTGGATGCTCATTATGTTCAGGAGCAGGTTGCAGCCAATCATCTCAAAGTCCAATATGTGCCCACTGATTATCAAAAAGCTGACATCTTTACTAAAGCATTATCCACCAGCAGGTTTGAGGTTCTTCGAGACAAACTAACTGTTGTGACTAGTTCTCCTAGCAGTACAGACACTAAATCTGCTAATGGTACTAACTCATTTACTGATGAATTGGCAACATAGTAAGCTTGAGTTTCCTCTGTTTTTCTGACTAGCTTGATGTTCCTCTATTTTTCTGACTTATACTTGATTATGATTAAGATTAATTAGCTCTTCAGGAGTATTGTGATGAATGTAGCTGTATAGTTGTATTGCATATGTTGTGGATTGATTACTGTGATGACTGAAGATTATACTGAACATAGTGTGATGGTTGAAGATTGTAACTGAACATGTTGATGACTGATTACAACATAGTGTCTGTTAAAACTGAAGCTACAGAGGGGTGATTATGAGAGGTGTTTTTATTTGTTTCTGTTATTATGAGAAGTGGTTTGCTTGATTCAGTTTCTGTCAGAAGTTGAAGCTACAGAGAGGTGATTATGAGAGGTGTTTTATTTGATTCAGTTTTTGTGATTATGAGAAGTGGTTTGTTTGATTCAGTTCCAGTCAAAAGTTTAAGCTACAGAGAAATTATCCAAAGGGGTGATTCAGTTTATTTTTGTTCAAGTTGATTTTGTAAGTTCACGTTAAAAGTTGAAGCTACAGAGCTAAAAGTTGATTTGTTAGAAGTGATTATGATTCAGAGAGGTGATTTACAGAGAAATGAGTCAGAGGGGTAATTCAGTTTTATTGAGTTGAAGTTGCAGAAAGATGAATCATAGAGTTGACCTCGATGATAAGCAAGGGTGTTGTCAATTTTCCAAGTTGATGATTCAATTCAACTTTAAGCAGGGGTGTTGTCAATTTCCCAGGTTCAGCTTAAAGGAAGATGTTAGTAAAGGAGTGAAAATGTCTATATCTTCTCTTAGGTCCAGCTTAAGGGAAGATGTTAGTAAAGGGGTAAAAGTGTCATCTGTTAATACTATTGGTTAATATTGTTAGTTGTTATATTTCTGTTAAACATTTAGTTAAGCTGGAACAAGATTAGTTACACTCATGTAAACACTATAAAAGTGTACAGTACAACAAAAAGAAAACAAAAAGAAGAACATCAGTTTTTACTCTTTCTCGCGTCTTTCCTTTATTTCCCTTTCTCTCTTTTTCTTTGCTGACTTTACTCAAAGTCTCACAAATCTAATTGATGAATGAATATGGGAGTTCTCCGATGAGTGCATTATTGGAGAGGCCAAGACGCTTCAAGTTTGTCAAGTTGCCTAGCTGTTTCGGAATCAAACCCGAAAAAAGATTGTAATCCAACAAAAGATATTCAAGCAGCTTCAAGTTCCCAAGCTCCCGAGGAATTGAGCCATCTAAACCACAGTTTGCGAGATCTATGTATTCCAAATTATCTAGATTCCCAAACTCCTTAGGTATCCCACCTTCATAAGTATTGTGGGAACGCAAATTATCCTTGTAAACCGAATTCACCAAATGGCCAATCTCATTTGGCCTTCCTTCTACATGATGATGATAGTTACCCAAAAGTATCTGTATCAAGTTTGTAAGATTCCCCATCTCAACAGGAATTCTACCAGTGAGCTTATTGAAAGACAAATCTAGGATTTCAAGCTTCTTATTTTGGCCAAGGTAATGAGGAATCACATCACTGAAGTTGTTGGAATACAGCGCCAAGGACTCCAGATTAGGCCAGTTAGCTACACGGTTAAGAATTGAACCATGCAACTTGTTGGAGAACAAGTGCAAAAGTTTGAGCTGCTTGAGATTGATGAATGAATATGGAATTTCTCCTGTGAGTATATTCTTGGAGAGATCAAGACTCATCAAGTTTGTCAAGTTTCCAAGCTGTTTCGGAATCAAACCCGAAAGAAGATTCTTAAACAAGAAAAGAGTGTCAAGCAGCTTCAAGTTCCCAAGCTCATGAGGAATTGGACCATCTAAACCACAGCTTGCGAGATCCATGTGAACCAAATTCACCAATTTGCCAAACTCCTTTGGTATCCCACCTTCAAAAGCATTGTAATAACTCAAATAAATCACTCTCAAGTTTGTTAGATTCCCCAACTCACCGGGAATTTTCCCCCGAAGATCATTCGTTGCAAGTGAAAGATACTCCAACCCCACTAATTTTCCATAACTTTCTGGGATTTTTCCATAGAAATAGCTGCCACTAAGATCCAAGTACTTGAGTTTCTCCAAGGTGAGAACACCAAGAGGAAGTAAAGCAGTGAAGTTGTTATCATAAGCATCAAAAACTTGCAAGCTGTATGAAAGACTTGAGTAGTTCCAATCCAGGCCACCAGTAAACTGATTGTGTGAGATGTTAAGAGATTGAAGACTACTCAAGTTAGCAATCTCAATGCCTCCCCTGAAGCTGTTTCCTGCAAGAGAGAGATAGGTGAGCATATGAAGCCTTGAAACTTGAGCTGAAACTGAACCACCAAGGTCCAAATCCGTCAAGTCCAATGAAACAACTCTATCTTGGGAGCAAAGAACTCCAGCCCAAGAACAAACTGAGCTTGGATTTCATGAATTCCATGAGGTTAAAGCTGGTTCAGAGGAAAGAAATCCTTGTTTAAGAGAAACCAGGACGTGAAAATCATTGACCAGAGAAAAGGCCGAAACGAAGACGGAAGAAGAGATGGCACTGGTGAAGAGAGAGAAGACTGACAAAAGAATGCAAAAGACCATGTTTTGATGGGAAATTTTGTAAAAGACAGTTGAGTTTGGAAGGAGTTGGTGCAATAACAAAGGGATTTAAACACTTGGGTGAGTAAACATTTTCTAGCAAATGAAGTTACAGTCAAAAGTGATTAAACCATGGTATGAAAGGAAAGATAGTGTTCATACACATTATTAACAGAATGAAAATGAAAGAGAATTTTAATTTCCATAATGGTAGGTAATTCCTAACTTTGTATATTTATTTTATTTATTTCATCTCAACTAATCCCTAATTTTGTATCTTTATTTTATTTATTTCATCTCAACTAATTCTTAAGACTTAGAACTATTGATTAAGTAAAAGTTCGAATAATTATCCCTATTAACACTTAAGGATGGACTAGAATTCAAGAGGTGATATAACCCCAAAGGTCCCCTCCATTGGACGTTTTAGAGATAATTACCTTTGTATCTTTATTAAATAATAATTGATTTGACAATGTTTCCACAATTATAAAATAAAATAAGCACAATACCTGAGAAATTTGTCCCCTCCATCCGGTAGTGAAGTCCATGTATGCCCAGGGTGGGCCAACACCGTCCCTAGGATTTTAAAAAAAATTGCGTGTTATCACTGTTAACTTAGGCACACAATGTTTTATACAATTACAGTTACTACCATAAGTAATTAAACACAAAAACATATTAAATAAAATTTTATTTAAACAACTAAATGAAATTTTAGATTATAAATAAATAAAACATATTTATTCTTTATTACCTTATGAATTAATTTGTTTCTTTAATTTTTAATACCTTTAGAAAATTATGATTTTTTATGGTTTCAAGATTAATGAAATGTGTGTTCTTTTACAAATTTTGTAAAAAAAAAAGATAAACTAACAGGCCCTTGATATTTCGTCATTCATTTCCATCCAATCGAAATGGGTTTAATTTTTTTCATTTTGATCAATTATAAGATAAAAAAAAAAAAATTGATTATTAATTTCATCAATTAATCATTATATCCACCCCAATCTTATTATTTTATTATTTTCGATACTAATATCCATATCAACCCATGATTGAATATCAATTTTGCTTAATTGTAAGACAAAAATTGATAATTATGTGATCAAAATATTTGCTATCCGAAATTTTCTCAATATCCATAATATCATCTCTCCCTAGATAATTATTTATAAGATACCTCCGAGCATACCAAATATAAAGGATACTTCCATTGATATATCCTGATCGAGCACGGATTCATGGAATGTCAAAATCCTAAACTCGATCTTCTATCAAATCGTCGATCAATATGTCCGAAACTCGTCATCACAAACTTGCTTTTGTTGACTAATAATAGACCCTGGCTAGAGATTCTGATTTCTGACATTTATCAACGTTTGACCAGGAACTCGAATCCGGATGGAGTCAGCGGTACTCCTAATCCTATATTTTCGAGTCAATAGATCCCTTTTTGACCATCGTTCGTTTCCGCATATGAATAACGCATGACCAAATAGGTTTTTTCATACAAAACATGACTAGTCTCGTACTTATACACCGTATGAACCATACGCATCCGTATCGGATCCGACCACAATGTCTCAAGTCAAAGGACTACATTGTGCACTGATATAACCAAACGATAAATCATTGACTATATGCTTTTCCAAGTGATTTGTCGTTATTTGGTCACTTTAAATAGTTCACCAACTGTTAATCATTACCAATGCCCCAGTGACATGACTATCATCGTCATCCATACTTATATCAACTCATGATATCTTTCGGAAGCATCCAGTATGCCTACTATGCAATATAGTTGCCCAAATTATATTGCTTCTGTAGGAAACCCTTTTTGATAATTCATTTACCGATTAAATGAATCATCTGGACAATTCATATACATACTTTATTTTAAATGCATGACTGAATAAAGGAAGCAATTTATATATATGAATTGAAGAACTCTTTCTTCTATTATTTATGATATATAGATACAAGACAAAATGCTCTGAAACCGATAACACGAATGGTTTCTAGGGCATACACTAACACCTTTTGTGGATAGGAGAGGTGCAGGCCCCCATAAGTCATAATAGACTATTTCTAATTGTCTAAGAGCCTAAGAAGTAGAAACTAGAAACTGACACTGTTGTAGCTTTCCATATTGACAGGCTTCACAAAATAATTTTTTATTTCCAGAAGTAGAATGCTTTACATGTAGTATGTCAAGTACATTATTCAGAATATTATGACTAGGATGACCTAGTCTTGCATGCCAAAGAGAAAAAGTATTCAATGACTTATCAACAACAATGTTCTCAAACTTATTAGCAAAAAGAACAATCAACACCAGAACTGTGACAATTGACTGAGGACTGCTCTTTATTGGACATAGGTGAAGTAATTGCATAAGAAGTAAAAGTTGTGGAACCAGAGTATTCAGGCTGAAAAGTAGAACCAGTAGTGGAGCTATCAAGTGATGGCAAAGTAAGTTGGTAGAGACCATCCTTCACTATCCCTTGTAAGAGCACAACCTTGTTGTCTTTATCCTTTATTAAGCAATAATCAGCATGAAATTCAACAATCACATGATTATCCTTAGTGATTTGAGATATGCTCAACAAATTTTTTTTAATATGGGGCACACACAAAATGTTTTGAAGCTGTAAAATCCTATTAGAATCAGTAGAGGGCAGTAGTAGCATACTTGTGTGTGTGATAGGAATAGATTGACCATTACCAACCTGGACTTGAGATCCTCCTTGATAAGTGGACTTCAATAACAAGTTAGAGGCATCTGCAATCATATGATTTGATGCCCCAAAGTCCATGTACCAAGATTTATTAGTAATTGTTTGTGGTGTGGCAATAGCCTGTGAATTGGGAGTTGACATCATAGGTGCAGTAGACAACTGTCCTATGGTTGAGTTGTTGGTAGAGGTCACAGGAATAGGATGAGGGAAAGATTGAAGTTCAGGTGCTTGTGAGTGATATCCAGGAGTAGTGTAGCTTCATGGAGAACCTATAGTACCACCAGTAGCTGAGAAATCATGAAAGCCATCATAGGAACTGATAGCACCCTTTGGTTGTAGGAAGTTTACTGCATAAAGAGCTTGAGCTTGAGTAGCAGGATCATGAGAGCTTCTAGAATATTGCTGAGTGTTGGTAACATGAGAAGATATAGGTGAGTTAATTGGTTGAATTGGAGCAGGGTTGTTAGGTTGAAAACCATGATAATCATAGTCAAACTGATGGTAGCATTGCAGAGCTGAATGGCTGGGTTTACCACACACTTGACAAACTAGTCTAGGCCTAAAATAACCTCTACCACGATCTTTGCCTCTCATTCCACTATTATTAAACTGAAAACCACCAGTAGGAGGGTATTAGGCAATAACAAGGTGAGGTGATACAACAGTATACATGGCTATATTATGAGGTTGTTGAGGATACCCTTCATGATGTGTATATGTCATATTCGGTTGAACCAAAGGAGTAGACCTAGGGTTTTGAAAAATGCCTCCTCTAGGACCAAAATTCTGAACTGGTGAAGTACTATTAAAATTCTGAATTTGCGACACATTATTGGGGTCACTTGAAACTTACTTAGTAGATAGTAATGCAGAGGTCATTTACTTATGGAAGCTAGACATTGCACTATTCTATTTTTCAATGGGCATCTCATGCTTATGTAAAAGAAGTTGTGCTTCCTGAAGAGTGGTATTACTACTGTTGGCAATAAGATTTGCTACCATGGCATCATATTCTGGACCTAAACCATCCAGAATATATAATAGTAATTCTTCTTCTCCAATTTGAGCCCCAATTGCTACCAACTCATTGCCTATTTCTTTCATTCTCAAAATGTATTCATTGACACTCATGGACTCTTTTTAAGTACTTTGCAACAAATTTTGTAAGTGCAAAGTCCTAGCCTTAGAGAACGATTGAAAGTACATCTCTAATGTGTTCCAAATCTCATACGCACTTATGCACTTGGCTACATGTCTAAACATGGACTCGGAAATAAAAGACACTAACCAGCTTACTAAAAATTGATCCATTTTCTTCCAATCAAAGTATTTTGGATTAGGTTTCTTAACAGTTTGTTCAGAATCTACATTTTCTCAACTATAAACATAGGGGGACATGTACTCACACCTGTTACAAAGCCGTCGAGCTCATATGAGGTAAGTGCGGGTAGAATCTGAGACCTCCAGTAATTGTAGTTCTTTTCCCCTAATTTGACTGAAAGAGTTGGAAGTGAAGAGTAAGCTACTGAACTCATTGCACTTGCACCGTTAGTTTGCTCTTTGACAATCTTTGAACCAGAATCCAAGATCTTAGAACTCATATTAACCATGGATGTTTGTTGGTGGCTCTAATACCATGAAGATACTTGAGCGGATTTGAAAGAAACGATTAAAATCAGAAAAATGTAAAGAGAACAATCAAGAGTAGAACTCGAGCTAAAGAGAGAGAAAACTGTGACTTTTACTAACTTTATTCACCTTTTTTTTAGTTGTTGAAACAGAAAAATAGTAACAGCCTCTTATATAGAGACTGAGATATTACAAAAATGGTGCATCTTACTTACTTATAGACTTTACAAAACACACCCCAAGTATTACTTATAAAGTTTACAAAGACACCCTTACTTGCTTTTATTCCTAATACATTCCCTCAGTATATCTTCTTTTAAGTAAACAACGAAATTATAATGTATTTCATCCTTGATTCATTATTCGAATATGTATCCATTTCCATTTCCTTTTTTGGTTCAATACAATTTCAACAAATAAACATAGCAAATTATAGATTATTCACCCATTTAAATGATGGTGCAATTAATTGCCTCTCTAGAAAGAAAGAATGAAATAAGTTAAACCACTTTTGATAATTGAAATGATTCTTAGCTTGTCTTCATATAAAAAGTTTGAAGCTGAATATCAAATTGTAGTATGTTCCTTGATTAGAATTCTCATTAACGTTTTCTTAATGCCAATGTTGTT